TCCTAAATCAATAGTATCATTTGGAAGATTTTTTTCCTTAATATGATTATTGTAATTTCTAAGATTTAAGGGGTATTTAATAATGTCAATATTTTATTGATATTTAAATTTTGTATTGAAAGATCGTACGTACCGACAATTAGGCCATGAAACTTCACATCATAGGTTAAATCGATAAGTGATATTTAATAATATGACATGGTTGAACCACAATTAAATTATGACTTCAGTGTAAAATACTCTACTACCAACTTTTTCAATATGATTTTACAATCCTTTGGTTCAAAGAATTCTTTTACACTGGTGAAAACAAAAGTTTTAAGGCACATTTTGAACTATCTATTGCAAAAAAGCATAAGTTAGTTAGCGATAATGAGAATATGCGATTTCATGTAAACCAAAAGACACTTCGCAACTTCTATATTTTAAAATAAATGTATGCTACTCATACTCTCGCTCATTCATCAACTTAATGAGTAACATATATTTCATGTAATATTATTTTCATACGTTTTTATTAATTGAATTATTTCATGAAAAAAATCTTTGTTGCATGAAAATTACTACATTGTTGCTAGACATGTCTGCGATCTGAGAATAATTTGGGAAGTTCGTACACAATACATTGTCCAACTAACTATTAGCGACAACTTAGTATCATATCTTAAATATTTCAAATCAAGTAACTTCATATTCATTACCAATAGTGTGGTAAAAAAGAATGCTCTCTATTGGGGAAAACTTAGAGGACATACTAAACTCTAGGGATGGCAACAAAACCCAAACCCATGGGTACCCACCCGACCCAACCCGGTCAACGCGGGTAAAAACTCATATAGATAAACCCGACCCATGGGTACCCGCCCACACTCATATAGTTAATTTTCTCGGTATATCTAATATTCTAAACAACTAATCTTATTTATGTTTGTGGAGACATGTCTAATTTTTTCTTTCTAATTGTGTAGAATGAAGTTGATGTCATCGAGTGGAGAGTGAAGAAACTTAATTGAAAGGAAGAAGCTTTCAATTAATCATGTTATTTATGGATAATTTGTGATTTGCTTCAATTTTATTGAGTTTTCTAGATTGGTGTTGAACAATTTGTATAGTTAATTTTTTATTTGCTTGAATTTTCTAGAATGGTGTTTTATATATGGATAATTTGTATTGAGAGATTGATATTTGACTTTAATTTTGATAGAAATTTGTTATTATAAATTTTTTACGACAAAAACTCGTGGGTACCCATGAACCCACGGATACCCAGGGGGTTGGGTTGGGTTTGAGTTTTTCAAACCCAATGGGTTTTACCCCGGGTTTTTTTCACGGATAAACCCATGGGTTTGGGTTTGGGTTTGGCAAAACCCGACCCATTGCCATCCCTACTAAACTCTATGAGACATTTTCTTTCATCCTAAAGGTTGATTATGTATGTATGTATGTATGTATGAGAAGCAACTATATGGTTTAATTACATAATGAATGACAATTAGTTATATTTTTTTATCATTCAATAATTATATGTAATGCTTATATTATATTTTTTCCTCTTTTCATGGAGGTCTAAACACATTATGCATAAGTGTATCACTTTTAAAAATGTTATGTGCATAACTAAGATAGAAAATAATCATCTCATGCATTTCAAATCATCTATTATATCCATTATTATATACCATATTTCTCAACAAAATTCTTCCGGCCAACGAACCGAGGCCCTGTACTAGTGATATGTAATATGCTAACTACCACATATAGAACGAAAAATTTAACAAAACACGAGTATAGAACTAAAGAAATAAACATGAAAACATAAGCGTACCTAAATATTGGAGTTGAAGAAGGCGACGACTCCCTCAGTATTATCAGCTTTGGGTTATATATATAAGTCTATGTATTTTATTGAGAAAACATTGAAAACTAATAAAATACTAGTGTGTAATTAGCCGTAACTCTTTCAATACCCAAATTCAATTGGGTGTGCCTACGGTGACATGCATGTCACGGTGACTTGCACTTTCCGGTCGACCTCAGTTAGGATTAGGTCGACCTTATTTAGAATTCGGTCGACCTCATATAGGATCCGGTCGACCTCATTTAGGATTCGGTCGACCTCATATAGGATCAGGTCGACCTAATCTGTTGTTTCAGTGTAAAAACAGTTCATGGTGCATACTTTGGATATTCATATCATACAATTGGCTAGATGAAAATTGAAGACTAATGACTTGTTTTGAAGCTGGAGTGTCCCTCTACATATTGAAGTGATTGAGAGCTCGATAGGAAGTTCAGAAGATCATTTTTGAACCTCATCAAAAGACTATGCCAAAACTGGGAAACTGCCTGAAAATGGCCAAGTCTGGAAACGTGTTTGTGAAGCCTATTTTGGAGCTCAATTCGAGAAGCATGAATGCGAGTTGAGTCAAGGAGCCTCTACCACGTTAAATTAGGTATGTTTTTATACGAATTCAAGGCATTGGATGAAAGATTGGATATCCGTAAGGCTTCAAACAAAAGGGTTGAAGTTGCTACGAAGGCTGTTTTTCTGGTAGACTTCGAGCACAAGCAAGCTGCCAGAAAAACAACCTTCGTAGCAACTCGAGCCTTTTGTTTGAAGTCTTAAAGATATTCAATCTTTCATCCAATGCCTTGCCTTTGTATAAAAAAATACGTAATTTAACGTGGTAGAGGCCCCTGGACTTGACTTGCATCTATGCTTCTCAAATTGAGCTCCAAAGTAGGCTTGACAAACACGTTGCCAGACTTGGCCATTTTCAGGCCGTTTCCCAGTTTTGGCATAGCCTTTTGGCCAGGTTCAAAAATGGTCTTCTGGACTTTCTATTGAGCTCCCAAGTACTTTAATGTGTAGAGGGGCACTTCAGCTTCAAAACAAGCCTTTAATCTCCAATTTTTATCTAGCCAATTGTAAGATATGAATCTCCAAAGTAGACACCATGAAACTGTTTTTACACTGAAACAACAGATTAGGTCGACCTAATCCTACATGAGGTTGATCGAAAAGTGCATGTCACCATGACATGAAGTCCAATTCAATTTTGAAAAACTAGCTAGTAAAAATAATTATTTTTAAACTACACTGACCTTAAATTCTGGTTTTTCTTCGAGAGTAAAGAAGGCAATAAAATAAATAAGAAAAAAAAAACATTACGATGATAATAATATGATTTTACATGCTGATCATCATAGTATCAGGTACAATGATCGCTGATTGATTAGGTAAAAACAAGGTAGGCAGACTGCGTAAGCCAATAACAAGAACTTGATTATAGCTGGAGCCCTTCATGGCGAAATTGTTTGTGGTCCATACAGACATATTTGCAGCAAGAAATCTTGGCTTTGGCTGCTGCTTTGTCCATTGTAACAAAAGAAACCAACTAGGAAACCAAACAGTGATAATAATAACAAGATAAAGAGCCCAAGTCATTAGTGGAAGGAAAACGACGAAATGGCCATATCGAATTCTTACGATGAAAAGGCGAAAAGGAGGAAAAGAAAGGATATATAATGAATGAATACAGTTGCTAACTAAGGGCGGTTGGATATAATGATTTCTCGTAAGGCAAGTATATATGATTGTGTCTCTCTTCTGTATACTTGATTTCTTAACTTAGTTTCAAAATCAAGGACGTGGTTCAATAATTAGGTCCCCTCTGCTGCTGCTAATTGTTTAGTCCGACCTTAAGCAGCCCCTAGTTTCTTTAAGTTTGTCGTTGGTTGATGAAAGTTGAGGGCAAAGAGAAATACATTTGAGCTAAATCTAGCTCTTAGACAGGCTAGGGCACGAGTAAAGGCTGAATCTCAACAAAACTGATGAATGAGGACTATTATCTAATAGCTCGATGTCCTCGTTTGTTTTGTCGCTTGAGATCGACGAGTTCATGTCATATTCTCTAAACATGATGATGTCTAGAACGAAAGTATTCAGTAATTATACATAACTCAATCATCAGTTACCATATCAGCACACCCTCTCTCTCATGGAAAGTCTTTAATCTTTTCCATTTTCATCTTTAACGAACGATTTGTCTCATTTTAAGTTGAAATTTTAAAAAAAATTGCACAGATAAATTAGATTAATAGTGCTCTTGAAAATGATATACACTTTGATATATTTTTGGAACAAAACAAATTAAGACATATTTTACCAGTCTATACCATGGTGGTATTAATTGGTATTAAAATAAGAGCATATCATATGGTATGAACGCGTACCATGGTGGTATGAACATACAAAGACTGAGGATGGTTGAATACATGATGGTATGATGAGTATACTAACTTGCATTTATGATTTTCAACATTGTGTACCACAAGATACCACCCCCATACTAGGGTGGTATAGTATGATATTTTTTTCCTGTATCTTTATCACCCAGAAAATTTTTTAGATCCAATAGATCATGATTAACTTGTTACTTATTTGCAAAAAATTTCAAAAACGACTTAAAACGAAGGAGATATCATATGGTATGGAGTTGGTAATGAGATATATGAAATTTTTTTCTTTAAAAATATTAAAAATTGATTTCATTTTGTAAAGCACAACTAACTCATTCCATCTTTGCAAAAAAATATTGAAATCCTAGTTATAACAAAGAATACAAGAGCCGATTAAGAAAACTAGGAAAAATAAAAATCTTTTAATTCTCAACCTTTAGTTTTGCAGTCTACTTAAAAGGAATGATCTAGATTTGGTTACTCATGTTAACCATCCTAACGTTGCTCACCCTATGTTGAGCCCTTCTCAAGTTGGTTATTGATACTAGATTAGGGGCCCGTTGGACGGTTTTTTAACAATTACATAAATAACAATAGCAAATGTTCGAAGCAAATGTGTTTTTTTATTAGGCATGATAAAAGAATCTAATAAGACATTCAGTTAGTGGCAAAATTAAAAAAATGAACATACATCATGAAAATTTTCGACATCCTAGATTCATATACATAAGAATGAAATTTAAAAAAAAAACTAAATACAAAAGATGTAAAGGTTTTTTCTAGAGCTCATACCTGGATCTTGAACCTATAAAATAAAACAATTAGATTTGCTACATAATAAAAAGGGCTAATACCACTACAACACCCAAACTATCAACAAAATGCCACTTGTGTCCTATTCTTTTCAATATTCCATCTCTATCCTGAACTATTTTTTCTGTTAATATTGACCAGCGTTGACCGTTTGTTTTAACAGAAAATCTAGTCACCGCATATGTGGCATGTGACATGGAATTTTAATATTAATTTTCATTTATTTTTCCATCTGAAAATGAATAAATTCAAATAAAAAAAACAAAACAAAAACTCATATCCACTAGATCTATCTGTATCCCGACTGTCCTCTTTCTTTAATCTCCGATGAGTCCCCCCACCGGCGACCCTGCTCTCCTCCGGATCGACGATTCACCTCTCTTGGTGTTCTTCGGCTCTTCCTTTGATCCAATTCGCCTATATCATCGACTGCTTGTGCTCCGTTCTTTTTCCTTGGAATTCCCGTCGTCGCGGCCGTGGTTCTTCCTCCCTAGGTCTGGATTCGAAACAAGATCGAAGGAGCTTCTTAAATGGGGTCATTCTTCTCCGTCCACCCAATGGAAAAAGGGTTTAATCGGCGCGTAAATCTGGAGAAGTTCCTCTGGCTCGGTGCGGTGGACATGTTTCTAGAGGCGGACAGGGTCAACTAGTCTTCGTCTGGATTGGAAACCCTAGAAACATTGAAATCCACCATCCCCAGATCTAGGGCGAAGTTCTAGAACGCGTGCGCCCGCAATTGCCGGCTGCTGGTCCAGAAAACGACGCCGCGACGACAGACCACAAGCTCCGTCAACCAGGAATTGGTCGGGGAATTGAAGCTCTATCATAAGGTCACTCCCAAAGTAGTGTCGAACAGGGAAAAATTCCTATTGTCTTCTAGTACGGCGGTGGCGGGGGAAGAGGAGGGTGATTTGGGGGAGTAGAGGTCGAGGATGTCCGTGTGGCAGAGGAAGATGGTAGAGGGGAGGGTTTGGGGATTGCGTGTGCCGGAGAAAGATGATGAAAGCGAGCTTGGTGTTGATGTCCTCGATCATCATCGTCCATCTCTCCTCTCCCATCTCCGCCTACTGCTTCTTTCGGCCGCCGAAGCTGTTCCACTGGCTGCATCGGAATCGGAGCTTCGTCATCTTCCAGATGGAGAAGGTTGAGGAAGCGAGGTCGCTGGAAGAGCAGCTTGTCATGGAGGAAGGCGGCGACGAGATATCGTTGCCGTAGATGCTGATTCGCAGGAGGGATTTGAAGGCGGCGACGATGGCTGAAATTGAGGGAGGGGGTAGGGTAGGGAGCGGGTTGAAGGCGACAGTGGGTAGAAAGTTTATTTTTTATTTTTAATTATTTTGCATTTTAATTTTATTTTAAATTTAAAAATATATGTGGTATGATGTGGCATCTACGTGGATGCCACGTTTTCTTCCATGTCAGCAAAAGTCAACATCTGTTTGACCACCGTCAGGTCAACCGTTAGAGATAACAGTCAACGAAATCGCCAGGATACAAATGGCACAAAGTATCATAGTTCAGGATAGAAATGGAATATTGAAAAGAGTAGGACACAAGTGGCATTTTTTCGATAGTTCGGGTGTTGTAGTGGTATTAGCCCTAATAAAAAAATAAGCAGGTATGATGTTTTCCCCCTAATAAATGATTGAATTTGGAGTTAAGAAGAATGGAATCATAGAGTTAGATTGTTACCAAGTTGTTGTCGTTTTAGATGTTGTCGTCCAATTCCCACAAAAGTACTCATCGAAGTCTTCTTGACCTTTTCGTGAGTAGTGCTCGCATTAAGCATAACACAACTCGTTCCTCACTTTGACAACTTTGCATTGGATGAAATGTAAATTTCTCTGAATATTAGAAAGGGTTAGCATTTTATTGTAATGAGTCTTTATATTGCAACTTATATGTGCCTCCTCTTTATTCTTCGCTCTAATTCATTGAGCTCTCGCAATATTTTGGAATTGATTGGTGGTTGGCTTTCAGCTTTTACTCTCATTAGAGGATGTGGTGCATTTGCATCACTTATATTAAAAAAATTATTTTAAAACAATTTTATTTTATGAAACTCCTTATTTATAACACACAATTATATACAAAGATTAAAATTACATGAATTTCACCTTGACCCGAAGTCAATGATTCCCAAATTTGTAGATTCATCCACATCAAGTTAGCTTACAAATAAGGCCTTTCATTTATGAATTGGTTATCCATTAATTAAAAAATATTTAGCTAATAGATGCTCAAATAAAATAATCATATATTTTTTTCACCATTATGTTAAGAGATAAATATGATCACCAATATTTTTCAGAATGACATTTATTGTCCTACCTATGGAATAACCCTCACAATCAATCACGTGTACCCAAATTGTACATTATGCCCGGAATCATAGTTTAAATAATGCATGTAATTTTAAAATGCAAGTTTAATGAATTATATGCTCGAAAAGCTTTAGTTGGGTCTCTTTATGCTTTTGGCTTATATAAAAATTATTTTTTGTATCACTAATTTTGTCAAAGGTTGATTAATTCTCTTCAACTTTGACTTGTGTGAATTCATTTATGACAAAGATAGCAAACAACAATTTTGTAATTTCTAATAATCAAAATAATTATAGTGATTATAAACTGATCAGAGTTATTGTTGATGGTAGAAAGATTATTTCCCACTTTAGGTATAGATTAGTGAGAGTCAAACACAAATTCTGGTAGTACAAAAATAACTTTCCTCTTCCCTGAACCACACTGGGTATGAATGCACACTAAACTACAAAGTGTATATAATAGAGACCGATAAATATATGTATGTGTTCAAGATTTGAAGATTGAATTGAATTATTGTTTTGGTGACGAGGGGATTCTATGAAGAGAACATTTTTATCCATTGAACAATTTCAGTTTGTGTAAAATCTTATCTTTGTACCTTACTATCTTCGATTTCTTAAATGTTTTGCTTTGTCGTAACATCCTACAATTAAATATTCGTAGTCTCTTGAGTAAATTTTTCATGTAGGTTTACGAGACATATATAGACGAAATATAGACTCAGTTCTCAATCAAAATACTCAAACATCAATCACTATTTTTATTATCTTATACAATATATGTTAATTCATGATTCTCAAAACTGGGAGTAACCTATTACCAACATTTATTGATCATTGACTTAGTTTATCATAGGCTTCTTAGCGAAGATGCCTGATCTATGGATAATTTTGGTTATCTGAATTCAAGGCAATTGACACATCATATAGGGTTCTTCCCTTGACATGGAATTTCAGTTATCGATTTCGAACTTATAGCACATTCTCTAATATATATATATATATATATATATTCTTGGTAAATATTTTCTATTAGTAATTAATAGAATGTGTTTATGATATATCGCGGGCATATGAAAAGTTGTACCAGTTTAAAAGTAGATTGATTACTTTAAACCAATGTGTTATAAATCCTACTATACATGTAGGTAGGACCCAAAATACCGGACCCCAAATAGTAGCCAATTTTTGTGGCACGAAATGGTTGAACCACAGTTCAACCATGATTTTAGTACAAAATACCTTACCACTAATTTAAATTATCATTCCTACAATCACTAAGAGTTGGAAATTCTGAATGAAAGATGTTCTGATGGAGAATCTTCATATAGTATTAGTAGGACTACACTATTTTACGTGTTCAAATGGACAATTTACAATATGTCAGTGGGTTTTGACCGGTCTAATATCGATGTAATGGACAATGAGTATTTATTTTATTTTTATTTTATACAAAAATAACGACATCAATTAAATGACGATGGTTTCATTAGTAAAAACAATTTTATTATCTAAATTAGTATGACTTATAAGATAATCACGTCTCTCGCCAATAAATTTTTTGATGGAGTTTATTGTATTCCATTCTTAATGACTGGAAAGAAAATAGAAAGCTACTAATCTAATGGGGATTACTCTAGTGGCGTCCAATAAAATTGATGTATAGTTGTTATGGGCCAAGCCCACAACATGACAGCACCAAAACATATGAGATGTAGAAAGACGAAGTAATCCCTCGTATCCTAGGTATGTGGATTGCGGAGAGGGCTGGAAAATTAAAACGGGGAGGGTGTTGGCGGAGAACGTCTATAAGTTACTAGCCTTGGACCCGATCCGTTGGTCGGATTAATTTAGCTATCGATTCGTGAGGTGGAAGCATGAGCGAGAGTGGGAGAATATACATTTCTAGAGAATTGGATATTGAAATCTTTAATGGATCCTTAATTGGTCGGATTACCAACCAATTAAAAACCCTAACCAGAGTTGCTTATAAAATCGAGAATTTGAAGCAGACAACAAAAGAAAGGGAACACTGTTGCGATCAGATATGAAAAACCCTAGCAGCAATCCGGATATCCTCGAACACAGAAACGATGAAAGAGCTTGATTTCTTTGGAACTTGATTATGCAGAAACACCACATTCAGCAAGTTCCAAGTAACAATATCCTATGGTAAACTTCTATAGCTTTCTACGATTGTCGATTGGGTGCATGCAAGCTAACTTATTCTTCATCATTGTTTCCCCTCTTCTAATAGCCTATGTGGTCACATAAAACTGTAGAAAAGTAGATGATAAAAGAGAAAAGCAACAACAAACCATGAAGTTTCGAATGACATATGAACCACAATGATGCCTACCTAGATGGCTGCAACTTTTTTCGGATTGGGTATGTCCCTGGGGTCCTGTTCGTGGAAACTCTACTCAACGTACGTCTGAAGCGAAACAAAACAAAAAATGGAAGGCAGTTTTGACAACTAATTAAAGGATCAGATCTCTAAATGAAGAAGAAAATGGTGGTTTACGAATCAAAACCCACATAGGAGGACTTAAGTACGAAGAACACTAACAATTTCCAAAATATATATGATAATGAAGGGTAAAGTTTATCATGCTGAACTAATGCTTATCATGCTATCTTACGGGGCATACAAAAAGCTCTAATGTCCAATGCCAGCTCTAATTTGTCACATACAGTTGACAAATTAACAATAATTACATCGTAAAACTGAGTCGGCTTGGATTAAAACCTCCGAACAACATTTGGAATATAATTGATAGCAAAATAACACAGTTTGCAGCCGAACCCACTATTTAGTAAGGGCCTGGGATTGTAGTTCTTACACTAAATATCACCAATCATAATCACAAAAACATTGAATGGATTGGGATGCGAAGAATATATAATATCAACCAATTAGCTAAAATACAGAAATGTCATTCCAGTGCATCGTATGATTGAAGAAGACGCCAATTAAAACGTAATGAAAATCAACAACTACTATTAGCAACTTATTTAGTACAACCTTAACATCTAACCTAAACTGTAGATTATGGGTACCTTAACTCCGTTCGCAAAAGAACAGGAAGGAGAAGGACTTGTGAGAGGCACAATAAAGATAACCTGTGAGATGCAGTTATGAGCTTGATGACAAAATCAAGAAATCTAAGAAGGCGAAGGACATCAACTTCTCTACCATTGAAAGAAGCTCATCATTCACACCAACCAGCCTATGAAAGAAGCACAAAGAGCTTATATGAGCAAACCACAGAATAAATTAACTATTAGATAAAAAAATGTTTTCAGGGACAGACCATTAGATTAACCCTCAATTAGAAGATGTCAACTCCCAGCTTCTTAATGAGAGCACAACAGAACTATGCATAGTGAGGCTTGACTGATTTTAGCATGACAAATCCCAGCTTCTCAACCCCTAGCTATGTAAAAATGTAAAAGAGAAAGAACTCAAGACCACATAAAAAACGACACAATTCAATAGATTATTGAGATAACATAATAAACAGAAAATATTATAACTTGCAGCAACTACTCTTCCAGACTTCCACCCATAAGGAACTTAAAAGTACAACCATTTGACACTGGACCTCTTGAAAAATGAAGTTGATATCTTAGCATTGAGCATTAAATTCTTAAAAATAAAAAATCAACGAGAGAATGAGGACTTACACCTCGGATGAATAGTTTTCAAGTTTGTCCAACATAGACTAATTGGATTGAAAAATTGGAAACCTGTTAGGAATGGAAAAAGTCCATATATCCTCACCTTCGTCATTTAGTAAAAAAGATACCCAAACCCGTAAGATAAAAGAACTTGGAGTATCATTCTTCCTAAACATATATCTATAAAGAGAATTAGTGGGTTAGGGGGATTCATGCTAACCTCAGAGATTTCAGAACCGATGGGTCATATCACTGCTCCACAACCTAAAGTAAGAGGGTGGTCGTTCCCATCTACCCAACAAAATTGTAGACTCTAAAGAAATACTAAGAAGGAGAAAATAATTTCGAAGCTAGAAGAGAGAGAGCGCTGGAGAGAGGTACAAAGTAGGAGAGAGTCACCGTTTGAACTAAGAGACGTTTTCTACAATGTAATTAGCATAGACCAGGAAACCGGATCGTACCGGCCGGTTCAACCGAAAATTGGACCAAAAGCAGTACGGTGGGCTGATTGTGCTGATTTTACCGTGCCGGCCGGTATGATCCGGTTTCCTAGTCTATGATTCAGCTTCATTTCTCCGTATTCTCGTCCAATATGTGGAAAATAATTAAAAAGAATATTATTTTGCTATTTTTCTATGTTGAAAATGGG